CCGCTGGGCGAGGAGCTTTGGGTGGGGAGAGTTTATTTTTCGTTTCGAGCTGCTGCCTTGGCTGCTCACGGCCTAAATCCAGAGGGGCGCCTGGCGGTGGAGATGCTGGCTGTTGCTGTAGATGGAGCTGCAGCCGCTCGGCTGCTTCTCTGGGAGGAGGAGGAGGAGGAGGAGGAGGAAGGAACTCGGGCTGCGGCTGCCTCCGCCTCTGCTTTGCATTAGCCCCCACCCCCGCGCCCCTCGCAGCCGCATTGCAAGTTTTCTGCGCGAGGAAAATCTGTTGCTGGTGCTGGCGTTCGCACCAGCCCCGAGGCCACCCCGGGTGGGGTGTGTGGGGAGCACCAGCCGTTCGCAGCGGCAGCAACAGGAAGCCGTGGGGTCTCCTCCCGCACCTGGGAAGGAGGGTTCTTGCCCTTCCCAGAGCGGGAATAGCTCGTCTCCCGCATCCGGGTGCGGAGGGGGCGGCTGGATTTGGGGGGACCGAACCCCTGGCGGGGCGCCCCCCGTCCCCACCCCCTGATGCACTCGTTTCCCAGGCGTGCTCCCTCGCCGGCCGAGGTCTCACTGCAGCCCTTTCTCTCCTTCCAGTGGTAATCGCCGCTCGGGAATGCGGGTGTAAAGGGTCCGAGCTGCCGCCCAGCGGGAAAGAGACCCCGGGACGCCGGAAATCACCATCCAGAAGCCGTGAGAAGGGGGAGGGAAGAGAGCATTCTTCATTCAGTTTGTGTGCCTTGTGGGGATTTTTTTTTTAAATCGTTATATTTTTTTTTACAAAAAGAAACATTTCCGTGCTACTGTCTGTCATCATCTCTGGGGAAATCAGCCAGAACCACCGGAACGTAACTGAAACCAGACGAGAAAGGCAGCCGCCGAGGCAGTACCTGCAGCGTCCGAGCGCCAGAGCCACCTTGGAACCCGAACGCGCCTCCGGCGGCCGCGGGGCTGCGGCTCCGCCAAACTTTGGGGCGGGCGGGCCGGGCTGGGGCTCCGAGGGGCTTCGTAGACAGAGAGCTGCCCCCTAACCATGATGTTTCGCGACCAGGTCGGGGTGCTGGCGGGTTGGTTTAAGGGCTGGAACGAGTGTGAGCAGACTGTTGCGCTGCTGTCGCTGCTCAAGCGCGTGAGCCAGACCCAGGCCCGCTTCCTCCAGCTCTGCCTGGAGCACTCGCTGGCCGACTGCGCGGAGCTGCACGTCCGGGAGGGGGAGGCCCAACAGCCCCGGGTAAGTGCGGGGGCCGCCCGGGGCCCTGGCAGTCCTATCTCACATCCCCAATGATAAAAGTCAGAAATAGACAATGCCACACAACCTATTTTTTGCTTTCGGAAATGGCAGGTAACGCCTGTGGCTTCCATTTTTGCCATTTTTAAGTATTGAATGAAATATCAGCTCCAGAAACAGTCATCTACAAACTGAGACTGGCTAGAAGTCTCAATGTTAACCTGGGCTGGTGGCTGAAGGGTATTTATCTAAGGGCATGAGGCTTCTGGAAACAAACCTCTACTTAAAGAGCTGATCGTGACACTCATAAATCCACAGGAACGGACTCAACCTTTTTGAAGTCTCAGATGGCCATGAATCTGAGGCAAAGACTGAACCACTGAAGCACTAGATTCTCAATAAATGCTA